TGGAGAACTTTTGAGCTTTTTTTCATTACTTGAAAGAGTAAGCATTCAGCATACCAAAATAATTTCTAACAAAAGCCATGGATATCAAGATTGTATTTCAAATATCATTTGGTAATTCTGGACAGACATTACATGAAAACGTGTGTAAGTATACATACATATTGCTACTACAGATTATATCCTATTACACATATATCTATGCATAAAATCTCACCATTTCACAGCACAAAATAGCCTCTGTCATACTTTCCCTTTCTGTGACTTAAAAGAACTCAGCATAATTTCCAAAAATTTGCCACAGCACAATTATGTGTGTGAATAAGGAAGAAAGAAAACCATGAAAATGATTATATATTTTGCAGAAAAGTTCACTACACTGTTGATGGCAACAGTGGCTAAATCCTATACAATGCATCATAGTCATGTGATAATGTTTTTTTGTTACATTAATCATAAATTATTTTATACAAATGATTCATCAATCCTTCTTAGTAAGTTACACATTAATCATAAACTTTAAACAATTTCATCAGCTTCCCATCATACGATTATGCAAACAAAAGTGGGTTTTATTTTAATGAAAGCAAATGACTTCTTTGAACACATAGGGTGAGGAAAATACTTCAATTGTCACATGTATTTTTATACTTCAGCTGTTTGCTGTCTTTGTGGCAGTGTTTGTTCTCGATTTATTTGAATGAAATTACTTTTAAAGATTTCTACAGTTGGGTGTGTAAAATGAAATTGATTATGCCTGCTCAGGGAGGTTACTGTCATTAGTCAAAAAAGAACCTTTTTTTGCTACAGAGACCCATCTTTAGAAACTTAGGCAGAAATTTTGTATGTCAAAGTAAACACACCACAAAGTACACTACTGAGCTAGCACATAACCATTCATTCTGAAATGACTATACAACAAGTTTAAACCACTTTAAAAGTTTCCATACAGTTTAAACTGTTTATTATACCATCCTTACCCATTTACATTTCTGTAATTTCTGGGGTATATCAAAAGTTCTTTTAAAAATTACCAAAGTTATCAAAAAGAAAACAATATAACAAATGCAATAATATTCCAGTGCTAATCCAGAGAGATACATACATACCTGCTGGTCTGCTTAGAATTAATTGAACTTTTTAAAAATTTTGGTATTCTCAGTAATTCACAAGGTCAGTGACTTTGATCACGTAAATTCCTTTTTCAGAACTAGTGAACAGTATCCAGAAAAGAACTTATATTGCTACCTCTCCTTTCCTCCTGAAGTCACTGTTCTCTAAACTCTGCTCAGCTAAATTACCAAACCCACCTACAGGGAGATTTACTAATGAAAGGGGAAGGGCAGGGGGGTGGTGGTGGTGGTGGGGATGCTTTCTGAACAATAGAAGAATTCCTCTGCATTTAGAATACAGAGTTCCCATTAGAACAAAGAATTAGAAATGCCAATATTACCTCTGTTTTTTTTTTTTTTTAAATTGAGATTGTCCCAAACCTCTTCTATGGTCCAGTGAGACAGTGTTTGTGAAATGATTAAAAAGAACGTGATCTGATCAAGAGGATAGAATAATGGGAAAGGAATGCTAGGTTAGCCACAGTGCTAAGTGCTGGGAAACAAGACCAATGGGCTCCTTAGCCTATTGTTTTTATTCCCATCTGCTCTTTAGTTATCTCATAACACTTTGAGTCTTTATTTACTCTGTTTCAAATGGGTTAAAAGTTGCCCACTTACAATGGAATTTCATAATAAGTTACAAAACTTAAAAAAAAAGAAAGAAAGAAAAAATAAAAATCCTTGAATTATATCAAGTTTCCAAAAGGTCATCACTGTCTCTGCTGTGGCCTTTTCCCCATACCAAATCCTCTATCAATATGTCATAGTGAGTTAAGCAAAGACAAAAGAGAGGCCCAGTGTGAAAACGCCACATATATCTAATCCTGACAAAGCAATGAATAGACCTTCACAAGTATAATTATACTTGTTTATTTGTTGCCACGTACAGAGGACTGATGAAAAAATCCATCAAAGTGGTATTATGCAGACACCAAGAGCTTCTTTTCTTTGGTTGCTAAAGCCACATCGAGGCTTAAATTCCTTATTGTTAAATTCAGAAGAAAGGAGGGGGAAAAAGATTTTGGCTGGACTTTTTTTTTTTTTTTTTGCATCAGTTGCTGACAGATCTTTTGTGTACAGCATAGTATTATTAGATGCATTAGCTAAACTTGCTCACCCAGATACCTCATTTTGGCCCATATTGGAATCTATAATTATAAACTACTGTATAGTGGTGCCTTTAGCTGGGTGTGGTGTGCTGACCATAAGATGAGCAGCTCTTTTCTCACAGCTTCTTTTTTAAAATAGTAAGATACAGGTAAAGTACCTGTGTGCGGGTCATGGCTACCCCAGAACACCTTTTATGTGGGACTTCAGAATTGTTGAAAATTGGAAGGAGGGGGAGAGAACTTGGGAGTGAAGAATTGTAGGAAGATGAAGGACAAGGAAGC